TTACACTGTCTTGAATATGTGGCATTCTTAATAAAGTACTAGTGTCCTTCTTTGTGTAGAAGATTAATTTTCCAACCTCCTCTTTTTTTTCTTCCATATTCATTCTCACTTTATAGGCTTTTCATTACTTTTGATAGATGACATCCCCTATCAAAATTCAATGCCCCCTCCTTAGTGCAGAAGTCCACATGAGTGACCACACTTCCCTCAAAAATCTCTTAACTAAAGGAGATTAACATCCTACTGCCCAAAATAAATATATGAAGAAATCCCATAAGGTGGCAAAGCTGACGATATAGTTTTCATGATTACTAGTGATTTTTATCATCTTCAGAAATAAGTTTCACTTCCCTAATGATCATATGAATAAGGTGCCTGAAAAGTATAATCGGGCATGTTCTCCTCCTATAGTATATTTGATTGTCTTTACGTTCAATTTACGAGCGGGGCTCCAATTTTCATCACTTTCGAAGTTGATTAATATTTCATTGACATATGGAGTGGGTTTATTCCAGTACTTATACATGTCATGTCAATTGCATTGGGATTGATTATCTTTTTTAGAGATCATGGAGCAGTGTTGACTCCAAAGTGCTCCTCTCATAGGTCAATTCACTTATGATACGTAATATCGTATCATATTTAGATCAAAATGGCTAGATATTTGTAACCGGTATTCATCAAATAATTGGGTGAGTGGGTTTTCATGCAAAATGACTTGAATCTTTTGGAAAAATAGAGAAAACTGAAGGATTTATTCATTCCCCTTCATATTGGAGCAGAAGATATCCTGAAGATGCTTAAAATTTGATATATTGACATTGTTCACTATGAGGTACGCTATCTAGGCAAGTATGTAGAGGAAGAATACTTATTCAAAGCTGGATTATCTACTCAAGCGAGGAAGTTTCATGCACTTATATATAAGAAGTCATCCAAAGTTCAGGAAGTATCTACCCACACTTCAAAGGTTCTCCCTAAATAACTAGTAAATGATGTTGATCCACATACCTCATCTAAGAAGAATAAGGTGGATGAGATTTTAGCAGGTGCTGGCAAATGTCACATTTCTTCTCAAGCAAGTTACACATTCCAAAAGATTTTTAAAACATTAGTATAATGGATGTCGATAAGCTTACAACCTAGTGAGCATCGACTTCTTTTTTCCTCCTTTTTTGCATATTTATAAGGATACATCCCTTACAAATATTATTTTATTATTTTAGTTGTTGTGGAGCATGGATCTATAAATTGAGCTAACTTAGACCTTGAATAATTGGAATGATGAATTTGTGAAGGTCAAATACCTTCAAGGTGAGTATAAGTGAAAATATAATAGCAAGATCAAGGAGATGAAAACATTGGAAGAATAGCTAGTTGAATGCAGAGCTAAAGTTGCTACTATGACAACTTTTGCTTCTTTGCAGAACCAACAGATATACCAAAATTATATTGAACTAGTGGATGTATAGACGATAATTAATCAGCATGTGATAGACCAGCAGATCCACGAGGAGAAGATATCAACACTTAAAAGTAAAAAAAAAAAGGATTTCATATTCTTCTGTCTGAGAAAGAGATTGCTCTGTCAAAGGCCAAGTCCAAATCAGAATTATTACCTGCTAAAGCTATAAAGAGTTTATGAAATATATAGCCTTTAAGAACATAATTCATGATCATGTTCAAGAAGTATGTGATCAAATATATGTTGTAGAGGTGAAGGAATTAGAATGAAAGTGTATTAAAGAAGGCCTTATCATATGTATTTTAAAAGGAGTTCGTCTAGTATAGTGTAAGATTGGAATTGAAGTTGAAGGGTTGACACTTAGTCAAGCTTCTGATAATCCCCCTTCAAATTCAGGTGCTGATAATATCGAGCTTCGGAAAGTATTTCCCATTGCTGATGAGGTTATCGAGATTGTGTAGTGCTTCTTTACCACCAGTTGTATCACTTTATCTTTCTTAGCGATTATTATATGTATCAAATGATTATGTTTATATATAATGTATGTGCTATTTTTTTGATATAATGAGTTATTGATGTTCTCTTTTCTTTTATATATGCACTTTTTTGAATTTTTTATGGTAAAAAATATTTTAGTGAATTCACTTAGCTAGAGTGAATGTGATAAACATTCTCCTAGGATGTTTGACATATCTAAGATTATTAGTCAAAGCATTTCTTGATGACATTAACTTATATGGAGAAGCTACTTGGGTAATGTCTTCATCATAGTTTTTTATATTAAGGGTAATAGATGAGCCGCGTGGTTGAGCTTACTTATGATAATAGGATTCCACTACTTGTTAGCCTCTTTGCTCCATACTGATCCTAGTAGTGGTAAAAAAAATTAGTCTAAGATGCAGAATGAAAGCGACATGGATGCTAAAAAATATAAAATATATAAGTCACAACATCTAGAGCATCACGAGTCTCTTGCTGAGTCAAATTATATACACATGGCTATACTGGAGTTAGAGCAACATAATTACTAAGCTCTCTTTGATCACTACCAGATGTCCTCCTTACCACTGAACCAGAACCACTAGCTCTACAAGATGGTCCCTTAAAATAGTACGAAGAGGAAGTACCCTCGATCTCCCTCTCGGTCTAGCAAAGCTCTCATATATGAACTCAAAACTTATATCAAATCCTTCCTGTGAACACTCTATTACCCAATGCCCTATCTAACAACATATAAAGCACTCTCCAGGAGTTGTCATAGGTGCAGACTATCCATCTTTCCTAGAATCTCTAAGTACAAATCAACTCTTCTTCCCAGAAAGCCACTACTGTAAGTCTCATCAATGAACCTCTTCTTGCTAGCAATCCATCACTGCTGAGTATCTATTAGATCGTTCTCAATCAAAAGAGCTCTCCACTAACTCAGATAAATTTGAAATGTGAAATGGTACCAATGGTTGTCTCATA